TGCACATTCTCCTCCATCATTGAGGTCATTAATGGAAATGCTGAACAAAACCAGACCTGGAACAGATGTCCCTGAACTTCACTCAACAGACCCCCTCCTTTTCAACAGTGAACTGTAGATAACTCTGGGTATAATCATCCAATGGGTTTTGTACTTATGCAACATCTTGTCTACATCAGCCTTAAGAGCCACTTAAATGGCAGCCAGAGCTCTTCTTCACTATGCCCTTACCTTGTCAGAGAGGAAAATCAGATTATTTTGACCAGATTCTGCTCTTGACAGGTCTGTATGGCTCCTGCTCTTTTCCACTGATTACAAGTAGTGAGATTATTTGTTTCAGCATTATTTGAGCGGTGAGTGGGTGAGGGGATTTAACTGTCAGCAGTTCCTGGGGTTTGACCCCAGTCACCATTTTGAAGGGAGGGTTACAAAGCTTGCATTTTACAGTCTTTCCATGCCTCACTGTCCCCCAGTAGTTCTCATAGATAACAGCAAATATATCTGGGACTATTTTGCATGAAGTTCACCATGCCCAGATGGTCTGAAAAATACCCATTTATCTAAATACTCTCTTCCTTGTGATTTCCTTATTCAAGGCCAGAGTTTTAGCCCCCACCACTGGCATGGCTTGTGATATCCATTTCCCCATAGCTGTCTTTACCTGAAGGCTAATGCAAAGTGCACCAAACAATTGGGTCTCCTCAGTGGCTGCCGTCAGTATTTCCTCTGACTGCTGGAAAGTAGCACAGCACTGTCCTTGGTTAGTCTCTTACTGTTAATACAATGGAGACTTGTTTTCTGACATCTCTCACTTGGTGCATGCTAGCTTTTACCATGGTCTCTCAATAGAGCTCCAAACTGCTGACTGGATATGAACATCCAGGCTTCTACTGGAGATACTAAAAACTGGGCTCAGGTAGACAGATAGTTGTAAGAGGCGAGTCTAAGTTCTATTTTAACTACCTTTGAGGGCACAGGATGGGCAGTGGCAGGGGTACACTTCTTACTGGGCAGCACAGTGATGGGGGATGCTGCACTCCTGCCTATGCCCAGAGGACAGGAAAAGCCTCCGGGCAAATCCTTTGCCTCTCCCTGTCCCTGCCAGCTCTCCAGCCCTGCTTCACCGTCTCTGCAACCTGCGACTCAGTCTCCTTCCGCCCTTGAAGTCCTCCTCTCTGCAACATGTCCCCTGGCTCACCTGTGCCAGAGCTGCAGGGCTGCTTCCCTGCACCCCACATCCTACCCACATCCCTCTGGCCATGCCTAAGCCAAGCTGCTCCAGCTGCACAGGGGTCCCCCGAGGCTCCTTCAGCTGGGATCATGGCTCCCCCTGAGCAATGACTCCCCCACGAGAGAGGCAACTAATTGCTGTCTGTGCCCCCAAAGTAAAAAAGAACCAAAATAGACAAAACCTCAAGATACGTCCCCTGCTGGCTATTTCAGCTCACACATAAGAAGGATTTTTCTTCACAGAGTACCAGGAGGAGTAATTTTCACAAAGCTTCAGGGAAATAGCACTAGCCTGAGGAAGAAGGACACTGTTATTAGTTCCCAGAGCCCCAGCAAGTACCACCACTTTCCTCACACGCTCAGCTCAGCACTCCGGACAACTTGCCAAAAAGCAGCAGCAGCAGCAATATAAAACACAGGAGAAATCAAAGTCTTGCCCTGCCTAGGTCTGGGCAATTTATTGTTATTTCTTGTTTATCCAGAGAGAACAGCAGGGTGAAGGGGCTGATGCTGGGCCCACAGCATGCATTCCCTGGGGTGGGTGTAGGGCAGGCAGGGTAAGGTGACCCCTTCTGGCAGCGTTGGAAAGGGAGTACCCTCATACTATGCGGAGGGATGTGGCCGTTTAAAAAGCTGCAATGCCTCTTCTAGGGGGAGAGAGGATCCTTGCAAGACACTGTCAGCAAACCCTCCTTCTGATGGGGTGATTCCTCCCCCTGAAAAATACTTCCGACCCCAGAAGCCTGCATGGATGGACTGGCAGCAAAGAGCTCTTCCAGAGGTGAAGCCTTCTGGAGTTACAGAGCCCTACCTCCAGTGCCCTACCCTGCACCGCTGAGCAAGGCAGTGCTGGCAGAGCAAGGGCAGTTGACCTCATCCCCTCTGAAGCACTGAGAGCATGTCAGGCAGTTAGGCACAAAAGAGCAACTGGGGAAACACACTTCTCCAATGCTCTTGCGCTTGTGGGAATGCCTGACGCAGTTGAGAGAGCACTCTGTGGGGGCAGCCATGGGCATATGTGAGGGGGGAGCTAGTGGCTGTCTCACTGGGACCATGGCTGTCACAGAAAGTGCCCCAAACAGTGCCATGCAGTGGAGAGGTTACCTCATTTGTCCCATGTGTTCACCATTCACTCCTCTCTAAAGAGAGCTCCCAAACATGGAGGCCAGTTTATTCCTCTTCCCAAACACCATCACCTCAGCTGCCTGCTTCTGCATTTCCCAAAGCTGGGGAAGGTGCTGCTCATTTCTTACCCACCATGCTGTGAAGTTCAGAGCAGAGGCCCTGCTCAGCAGGGGAGGCTGGGCAGGGCCCAGGCTGCTGCCACCTCCTGCAGTGGGAAGTACAGCCCACAGTCTTGCAGTAGCTTTCCAGACCACTGCCTTGATGGGCCAAATTCCATTCACCGGGTAGGAGCCAGCATCCACCCAAAGGCTCTGACACTGGGGTGCTCCTGGCCAGGCTCAGGCTCTGAGGCTAGTCTTGGCTTTATGAAGCACAGTGCCTTCAAGAAGCCACAAACTCAGTTCAGATGATGAAACATCAACTCTCTCACATTCCTAGTTCCCTGGTGATGAGCAAAGGGGCTCGGGCAGCAGGACCAGCTGCTGCTGACTGTAGAAGGAGGAATCACAGAGGGACAGAGCCTGTCGGACACCTTGCTGTTGCTAACCCTCAGAAAGACACAGGATCAAGATGGCGAAAGCAATGCTTCTCTCACAGTTCAGAACGAAGGTCAGGTATGAAAAAGGCATTCAATAAATCAATCCATATATGACAGCATTTATTATTAATTTTTACACATGACACAGTGGCAGATGCACCCTGAGAGGAGCTGGCTATGGGACCCTTCTGCCTCTAGCTCATGGCTGGCCCTGGACTGAGAACATAGGCAATGCATCACATGTGCTACAGGGCAGAGGCAGTAGCTAGTCAGGTTAAATAGATTGCTTCATATCATACAAGGGGCACACTCAGGATAACAGCCATTAAAGTTCATAGGATTCAGTTCCTTGCACCGCAGAGGAGAAGGGATTGCCCAGGCAAAGACCCTCATGTCTCATTGGATAACCCCATCACCCAGAAGCTCCTTTCAGCTGGATCACCAGTATGGGGGGGTAACATTTAAACCTGTGTCTGCCAGTTCAGCATTTACAGCAGATCAGGTAAGGCATTAGTCAGGTCGTTGCTTGGGCTCAGTTCACAGTCCTGGTGTTGTTTTTCCAGCTGTTTTTGTGCTCTTATGAGCAGCAGCTGTGATTTGGCTGCAGGAGGCACCAACACTCATCTCCTTTTCCAGGCCCCTCCTGGGGAGCTCCAGGAAAGGCACTTGGGAAAGACCCTACTGAGCCACTCCTGGAGCTATGGGGTCACAACCACACACCCCACCCCCTCCACTCCTCCCCACAAGGGGTCCTGTCAGCCTTCTGCTACCAGCTCAGCCCAGGCAGATGCCAGTGGGAACAGCATTTACCCAGCCCCAGGGGAAGGGACTGAAGGAGGGGCAGGGACTGAAGGTCAGCATCATCGTTACACTGGTAAAACACAAACTGTTGTAAACTAGGGAAGAGAAGCATCCCAACAGGGTTTCGCTTTCTAGCCAATAAACTTGAGACTCACATGCTCTGCTTCCCTGTTTGAGGATGCTGGTTACTTTCGGGGTTGGAAGATGACACAAGGGGAAGGTGTCACCCCTCTGGCCTGGGTGGAAAAAAGAGATGAAGCCAACTCAGGTTCTGCCTGCCCTGGGCATGTTGACCTGTGAGCACTGCACAGCACTATATGTCTGTGCAGCATTTGGCCACAAAATGCTCATTAAGCAGCCCCTGCCCACATAGATCGGTACAAAGGGGTCAGTGCTACTCCAAGATAAGAGAAGAAGCTGAAACACCTAATGGAAGGACTTGTTCAAGGCCATGGTACAAACATGTGACAAGGTTGGTCCTGGGGCATGTGAGTGCCTTGGCCCACATCCTGCCCTCCTAGTACCAGTGTACAGAGGCAGAGCAAGATCTTCATCATGGCCCACGACAGAACTGAAAGGGGCACCAGACGAGGTAGGGAATGGTTCCTCCTCTCCCTGTGTTAGCTGGGGGAGCCTAAAACCAGACAGCATTGTACTGGCCAGAAGAAGCTGTTGTTTGGAAGGGGAAGAGCAGGTCTGAAGGAGTCTTAAAAGTTTGATTCCAGGATGAAAAAGACATTCCTGTTTCCCCTCTCTACACAGCCTTAGAAAACATCAGGGATTTTCCAGTTCAGTGCTGTTCCCATTGGCAACCTAGGAGGGCTGCCCCACACACAGAGTAGTAGCAGGTTTGTACTCTGCTCTCCTGCTCTCCCCCAGAATTTGGAACCATGGAGGGGGCACTGCTGTTTTGGAAGGAGTTTCCCTACTTTTCCCCAAGGAGAGACTTGGTGCATGCAGGATCCAAGCAGTCCCTGGGAAGGAGATGAGGCACAAGGCAAACCCAAAGTGATGAAGAGAAGAGGAAAAAGCAGAACCACAGCTTCAAGGTCTCCAGCCCCTGGCATCTCCCCTCTCCTGCTACCAGCTTGCGACAACCCACACCTCACTCTGGCACGCCGCTCACTACAAGGCAGACACACCAAAGGCCAATGTGCAAGTTAATATGAAGGCTGTTAACCAGAGTGACCTCCTCCTAACCCCCACCACACCCATCCCACCAGGCACCAAAGCTCCAGAGAGGAGTGAAAAGTTTCCCCTTTCCCTCTATCCACCTCCATCCCAGTCTCTTCTTCCCTCCCTGGTTTTATTCCCCCTTTGATTTCTGAGACCTCCTCAGATAAGTCTGGAAGAAGTAGTTGCCGAAGAGCACCAGGTAACTGACATACAACACAGAAGAAATGAAAATAACTGTCCATCTGATGGGGCAGACATTATCATCCATCCAGATGATGATCAAGACATTCATTATTATATATCCCACTATCTGCACCATCTGTATAGTGGTGATTGTCATGGCAATGAAGCGGGATACCTGGAAGCCTGCGGCTCGCAGAGCATAGTAGGAATACATGATAGCATGGACACTGTAGTTCACAGCTGCAGACCAGCCACCACCACCCACCAGATCATCACAGGCATACCAGCTGACTATCAGTGTGGTAGTGTGATGGTACCAGTGGAGGAAGATGAGCTTCTTTTTCTGGAGAACAATGAACACGGTGTCACCTTGGGTTGGAGGAGAGGTGCATCATTAGTCAGGTAAAAGCACAGCAGTTGCACAAGTTTTCATGTGAGGCAGAATGAGTGACCTGCAATGCTGAAGCCATTATATGGCTTAATCCCACCAAAACCTAGATTCCTGTTGGAATCGTCTGTGTTGATAAGGCCCATGTAGACACCTACCTCCTGGCACATTTGTGGTATAAGAGTCCCCTGCCCCAGGCTTGCTTACCTAGCTCTACCTACACAGCACTTCAGACCTGCTCTTCTGTACTTTTTTTGGATGGAGACTGGGTGGAAAGCCCAGCCTTCCCCTGCCTACCCACTGCCCCCTTGCCTCAGTCATCGCAGTGCAGAATTGTCTAGTCCAGGCGCTGGCTTGGGGATTAATCAGACCAATAACATCAGCCTGCAACCCTGTGGAGAGCAAGCATGTCACCTGTGTTGAGCAATAGGGAGTGAGAAAATGAGTGACATGTGCAAGGCTAGACAGCCCTGATCTCTGAATAACATTTGGACAGAGACCTGTAAAAGAACCCGCTTGTAAAAGCAAAGGAGTTATGAAGTCATGGGATAAGTAGAAGTTTCAGACTCACCCAGTTCCAGGAGTTTGCTCAGCACAAATAAATAGCCCCAAAACTGAAAGATGGGCTGGACGAGGAAGGATTGACTACACACTGATTGCTTAAATCCCTTAGTAGAGATGATGAAGGCCATTACTTTCCAGACCCTAATTGCTCCAGCGGCACTGCAATAAAAGCAGAGGAGAGCTGAACACTGTGCCCAGGGCCCCATCAGAGCCTCTGCACCCAAGAATATTCAGCTAACTCTATCTCAATGCCCAGGGTAGTCTTGGGGACTTCTAAACAAACTGGTTTCATCTCAGACTTCTACGCAGGTCTGCCCCTCCATTTGCTGTGCACAGGCTTGCCCAAGACCTCTTGATCAGGATTTCAAACACACATATTTCTGCAAGACAGAGCAGAGAAAGGCTGCTGCTCACACCAGAACAGCAAGGCACAAGGAGTAAATCGGTTGTGAGACACCAACGTGGCCTTTTGGCTTGCCTGGTGCCATGGAGCAGCTCCTGGAGGATGGCAGCAGCCAAGGTCTGAGCAACAAAGAATGCTCCCTCATTACACCCCCAGCTTCCACCGCTTGAAGAGGCACTCAAGAGTAAGAGCTGCCATGTCTAGTCAGAAAACAGGGACAATTGTCCTGGACAATTGTCCATCTCCTGACAAGGGCCAACAGTGCATACCCAGGGAGCATTTACAACCTCATGTAGCAGGCAGTTTCTACAGCTTATCTGAAGAAATATCCCTTCTTCTTTGTTATCAACCTATACATTTCATTTGCATGAGCTCATCCTGAATAGACCGTGAACAGCCATCCCCTGATGCCCCCTTTCCCAAAACTTGTGATTTTACAGACCACTACCATGCCCTCCCCTCACAGAGGGCAATCAGCATCCCTTAGACTTGACCAAAGCCAACTTGTGCAGATAAGCAGAGACACTCCTCTGGAGTTAGAGGCAGTAGTCTAGTTTTGCTCTCTCGCACCAAACACTGAAGAGGTGTGGAGATGAAGGAAATGTTAGAAAATTGACATCTGCTTATTTAATTACCGAGCATGGGCTGAATCATTCTCACGGTTCCTGCAGAAAACCTGTACTATAAGACTGGACAATTTGAAAACAGGTATTTTAGATTGATCTTCACATGGCTGGAAAAAAAAATCAAGAGTAGTACCAGGCTGTTCTTAAAATGTATCTCTAAAAAGCGGGCAGCAAAATAACCCTGTCTTTGGACCATCATTCTCCTGTCATTGTAACTCCTCATACTTTTTTTTTTTTTTTCCCCTGTATCAAAGCATACTAGAAAGACAACCCAAGGATTGGTGATTATCAGCAACTCTGATATTATACATTCAACTGGTTTATGTTACTGGCCAGAGTGCACCTCCCAGCCTCTTTCATACTCTTCTTTAGATTTACAGTAAGAAAGGTGCTTCTGTGAGCAAACAAGAATTTCTACTCCCTCCTACACAACAGGATTAGAAAAAGGTGGGGGAAAAAAATCACCTCCATTTTAAAGAATGAATCAAACTTATAATTGTCAGGCACCCTCTGAATGTGGATCTCTGCTCTTGCAGACTCCACGTTTAAATCTACTCACTAATGATTTTTAAGCACGGTACCCAGGGGTCCTTCTGTAACATATTTGACTTGCTGAAGTATTTCTGGTGAGGAATCAATGACCTGTATGAGTAGCTCACTTCCCCTTATGGGACAGAGCCTCCAAGGGGAAAAAAAACATTTCTCTGATGGTGTAGTAAATACCCAGGGCTGCCCATCAGTCCAGTCCTGAGGGAAGGTCTACAGCTGTCTCCAGCTTTAGCAAAGGCTTTTACCTGAACAAGGCCAGACTGAGGGACCACAAGGTCAGTCCTGGGCGCAGGTTGTAGGCTCTCCGTTCCTTCATGAGATGCTGTATTCCAAAGATCAGGACCAGATAAGCCGCAGCAAAATATAAAGACATGTGCCTGCAAACAGAGGAGAGGGAGCAGTCACGAAAAGACCCACACTGATCTATTTCTAGCTGCACTTCTGTAGCCCCAAGAGAGTGTTCTCACCAAGAAACAAAAGATCTCCCACTCTAGTGTTAAGGTTGGGCTTGGTCTCAAGAAGCCTGCCCTGACAGTGAGCAGAGCTGGCGACAAAAATCCTTGGGGACTGCAGAAAATAAAGTGAGCTGTTACATCGTGGAGATTTCCACAGAACCTCGACAGGGTAAGGCAGTATCTGGTAAGTCCGTGAGCAGGATCCCAAGCAAACACATCAATGCGTTTTATCCACTTACACATGAGACCCTATAGGCAGAGGATGCTCTTTGCCTGAAGAGGCCGGTTGCACCAGAAAGCTAGAGGCTCAAGGGCCATGTGTTATGTCCCACCCCTTTCCAAGGCTTTAGGGTAGTGCCGCGGGGCTGAGCGCCCTGTTTGCCGGTGCAAGGACTGCTGTGGCCATCCGTGGCTGCTCCTTGCCCTCTTTCCACATCACAACCTCCCCATGTGCTGCAGCACGATCTCGACCACCGTTTGCTCTGCCCCATGCGCTTCCCTGACAGCCACAGTGTGCAACCAGAACCCCCTAACTTCCTCATCCTCGGGGCTGAGGACCCCACGCCCACTCTGCTAGCAACAGCAGGACCCGACAGGGCTACCCGGCGTCCGGGATGTACCACAGCCGCAACCTCCTCTCCTCTCACCAATTGTTCCGCATCCATTCTCTAGCTTTCTGATTGTTGAAGTTCTTCTCGAAGTCATGCGGCTGCAGCTCCGACGGGTCAAAGTCCAGCTCCATGTCGAGCACCCTTGGGAGAGAGCCGAAACGAGCCGCTCCCCGAGCCCGCACCGGCAGATAGAGTCCCCGGGGATGCGCTCCGCCCCGGCATCGCACCGGGGGAGGCGGGACTGGGAGCCGCCCGGCCCGACGGAGCGGCCGGGG